AGTTTACATGGGAGAACATTAGTTTTACATTCATCCTATCGTATATCATTTCATTGCCATGGTTACAATCCCCTCCATGCATCATCAACCAACCAAGCCTGCCCCGCCCACCCCCCAATTCTTCAGCACACAGCCTCTCTTCCTCTCTGGATCCAAAGTCCCCAGCTGCTCCATCTTAGGCATCACTGCTTCCCTGGGTAGGGTCCTGCTCTCTGCTCTTCTCCCTTGATGGTCCCAAGGACCTCCACTCCTAGACTGCAAAGTTAATCACTCCCCTCCTTGCTACAAAATGTCTGCCTTTACATTTCCAACCCTCACAATCAGTCCTGATAAGAATTATTCACTATTGTATCACAAGAGATTTATCCGCATTCCCTTTCATCAGTCCCACCCAGACAGATTGGATACTACTCAGTGGAGAGAATTCTACCTTCCTCCACACCCTCTGGATCTAGGTTCCCTCTTTTTTTTTTTTTTTTTTTTTTAATAGGTTCCCTCTTGAAAGTCACTTCTTGCCTTTCTTGGCCCTAGTCTCTTGAAGAGATTCTTTTATTTTGAATATTTTTTTGTATTTTAGGTGAAAGTTTACACAGCAAATTAGGCACCCTATGGGATTGACAAGAGCAATTTGAAAGATTAGGTCAGAAACTTAGGCAGTGATTGAAGTTAATGGAGAAGAGGGAGGAAGGAACAAGTCAGAAAAACAGGGTGAGAACGATTGCACAACTCACAATTGTAATCTGTGTCAGTAAATTGTACACACAGAAGCTGTTGAACCGGTGTACGCATCGTTGTGGATGTCACAACAACAAAATAAAACTGAAAGAAGAAAAATTGATCCCCATTTAATAATTTGTACACAGATTGTTCATGACATTGGTTACAATTCTGCAGTGTGTGAACATTTTCCCCAGTTCCATGCTGCCAGCCCTGTTTCCATTCTTCCAGTTCTGCCTCTCCTACCTTCTCCCCTTTTCTTCTGGGTAAATGTTGACCTGAAAGGAGCATGTGTCCATGGAGTTCTTGTGTATTTTAGAGGCCAGTCAATTCTGATCAGCTGAAAGTTGATCTCTGGGAGTGACTTCATTTTCATGTTAAAGGGGCATCTTAAGAGTGATAGTCTTGGATGTTCCTCTAGTCTCTCTCAGTCCAGTACGTCTGGTCTTTTGATGAATTTGAGTTTTGGCCTGCATTTTCCCCAACTCTGACCAGGACCACCTGTTGTGTCTCTGGTGAGAACAGTTGATGGTGGCTGGGTCCTGTGGATTTTGGCTGGTCTCAGGCTAGAGGAGACTCTGGTTTGCATGGGCCATTGCTCTAATTTCTCCCTCAAGTCTCTGGTCTCCTTCACTACCCTCTGGTATACGTGGGGAGAGACCAATACATGTACTCCTTGCTTATTGATGTAGTGGTGGTCGGGGTGATTGTGTGCCGCGGAGTCGGTTCCAACACATAGGGCTTCCGAAGCTGTAAATCTTTACAGGACCAGAAAGCCTCATCTTTCTCCTGAAGAGAGACTGTAGATTCGAACTCTTGACCTTGCAGTTAGCAGCCTAGCTCATAACCCACTACGCTACAGTTAGGTTCAAAGATCAGGTTGTTAATAAACATCAACATCATGCATGAATGAGGGATAATCACCGATCACAAAATGAAGGAGGACTACGTAATTACATAACTATCCACTTATAGGAGCCCTGGTCTGGTGCTGCAGGATAATGCACTTGACCAAAGACCAGTTTGAGCCACAAAGTCAGCAGTTCAAACTCACCAGCCACTCCTCAGAGACCCTATACGGGGTCACTATGAATGAGAACCAACTTGACGGCTCTTAACAACAACAACACTCCAGTTATATCATCACATCACTTATAAAGCACTGAGAATTGTTGATCAGCTTGCATTCCTCACACCTCAGCAACTTCTAGAAAGACGTACTTCGTTAGTGTGCAAAATAGTAGATAATAGATATTTGACTGGTGTCATAAACGTGAAATGTCAACAAGATAGTCAGTGAGGAGTGTAGTTGTGACCTTAGTTGGTTGCTTACAAACTTTTAAGACCCTACACACTACTACTCACCAAACTAGGATGATAGACTAGAAGTTTCTGAGCTGTTTGATGTCATTAGACCACGATGTCCCTTGAGACTTTGGTCCTCGTCTTTTGAAGAGCTTCTTAAGTGTGGTTGATTGTAGGATTGATTAAAGGGGGTCATGTCTTTAGTAGTGCTTCAGTGGTCACTTCTGACTCAGAGCGACCCTGTGCAGGGTTTGCGAGGCTGTAAATCTTTACCAGAGTAGAAAGCCTCATCTTTCTCCTGTGGAGTGACTGGTAGATTCAAACTGCTGAGCTTGCGGTCAACAGCCCAGCCCAACACGTAACCACTGTGCAACCAGTGCTTTCGGCAAATGAAGACGACAAAGTGCAAATTCACCAAAGGGTTTACTGAAGTGACTGTTGAAGAAGCATCCATGAAAGACAGAAGCAGATTGTCTGAGCTCTCTAGTGCTGTGGTTGCCTATCACAAACTGAAATTGATTTTCTTACAGTTTACGAGGCTGGCAGTCAGGTTGCTGGCTCCAGGGAAAGGCTTTATTTTTATCCTATTGGCTCTGGAGGCAGGTAATTGTCTCTGCACTCCTGCTCCCGGTGGCTTGGCATTTCTCTACCCCTTCTCTGCTCCGCTCTGCTCACTTGTTTAATCTCTCAACAGAGATCGACTCCAGATACCTCCTACGCTGATCCTGCCTCATGAACCTAACGTAGACAACCCATTCCCAAAGTCTGTCATAGCCACAGGCATGATGGTGGTATGCCGTGGAGTTGGTTCCGACTCATAGCAACCCTGTATTGTGTTTCTGAGGCTGTAAATCTTTACGAGAGCAGAAAGCCTCGTCTTTCTTCCGCGGAACGGCTAGTAGTTTCGAACTGCTGAGCTTAAGATTTGCAGCCCGACTCGTAACCAACTATTAGGCATAGAGTTTAGGATTTATAACACCTATTTTGGAAAGACATAATTCAGTCCTAACACAGATTAACTAAATGTAGTCACCCCAGAATATATTTCACTAGACTACCTGTCCTCTTTTGTTTTCTAGCACTTAGTTTGGTGTTTGTTCATTATTGTTTTTCATTTCCGGTTTCCTAAAGATCAGCACAACCTGGTGAAAGTGACGGAACTGGTGGATGCTGTGTATGGTCCGTACAAACCTTACCAGCTCAAGTATGGTGACATGGAAGAGCGCTACCTCCTCATCCAGATCAGTGCAGTGCCCTTGGTAATGCCATCATCCTACCAGTGCCTGCTTACATACCTTCTCTGTTTACCAGGCTGGAGGCCAAGGCTGACAAAGGCTTGGGGTGGGATCAGCTATGAAAAAATGGAATTGGGTATGCAAAAAGTAGACTTTATGCCTTCATGGGCTCTTGCAATCCAAATGTAAAATGAAACCACACAGATGCTATCAATTTTCTGTGTAAATCCTCCAGTAAAGCCTGGTAGAAAGAGAGGATTCAATCTTTTGATTAAGTAAGTTGATTATCTCCCCTGATTGAGCTGATTTCATAGTAGAGCAGGCTGTCCTTTAAGGAAGCTCTGCACATGGGCTCAGAGGCTCAGCATTCACGGGCAGTGCTGGCAGGGTAGGTTCACAGGGAGAAAGGAACACAGGGCACCAGGGGACATCGAGGTCATTTCCGTTTCAAACATGCTTTTGTTTTCCGGTTCTCTAACATGAGCTGAAGCGGCCTTTAAGTGTTGCTTTGACAGGGTTACCACTGGTTGGTTACCTCTTTCCATTTTTTAGGGATGTACCTAGAAAGTCTGTACTGCCTCAGTTGTAGTCTGGCCTCTGAAGGAAACATTTTCCTTGCGCTACATTCTCTGCGAGTGTCTGATAGGGAGAACTGGAATCCTTTCAAGAGCAAAAAGGGAGAGATGTCATCTTACTATAACCACAGAAAAAGAGGAAAGGAATGAAGACTGTAATGGGAATTAGACATTTGACCGTGCTCTCTGCTAGAGTTAAGCTCAGATCTTACAGGCCATTCAGGCTGCCCTCCTCTGAGTCAGGCTGAGAACTGTCACACTTTGGGACTGTAGGTCAGTGTGTCTGATATCGTCAGTAAGCGAGTTTGCATCATAGGAGTTCAGCGGTCTTGTCCTGGCTTGATGTTTCTATTCAGAAGTTCGCTCGTCTGATGTGACTTTTGTTTGTCTGTGTTTGCTGACCAGGAACACGGGGAAGTGATCGACTGCGTCCAAGAGTTGAGCCATTCTGTGAGCAAGCTCTTTGGTCTGGCATCCTCAGCCATTGACAGATGCGTCAGCTTCACCAATGGTTTGGGGACTTGTGGCCTGCTGACAGCCCTGAAGTCTCTCTTTGCCAAGTAAGGCTGCGGGGAATGGGACAGGGCCAGGCTCATTGGAGGTGTATGGCAGTATCTGTCCAATTAGCAATGTATGGATCTGTGTGCCGTCTGAACCCTAGAGAAATGCTGGCACCTGAACCAACATGGCCTTCTCAGGGGTCTCAGGGGTGTTCATTCCAGCACTTTTTGTAATGAGACGGTCTCTAAATAAGTGGACCGTAAGGTCTGTAGTTCAAACCCACCTCAGAAACCCTATACAGGATCGCTGTGAGTCCGAAACACCTCGATGGCACTTAACAACAACAAATAAGATGTGGTGTATTCTTATGAAGGAACCGTATGCACTAGTAGTATTGATACTGATTTTGTTTTTGTTGTTAAGTGCCGTTGAGCTGGTTCTGACTCAAACCCTGTGTAGAGTTTCCAAGGCTGCAAATCTTTGGGGAAGTAAAAAGTGGGCTCGCAACATGGAGCAACTAGTGGGCTCGAACCGCTGACTTTCTGCAGTCCAGTGCTTATCGTACAGAGCCACCACCACCCCCATTAGTATTGAGTAGATATACCCATATCAATAGGAATAAACCTCAAAAACATGCTGTTGAGTGAAAACAACAAGTTATAGAATAACTTTAAAGAAGGAGCCTGGTGGTATAGCAGCTAAGCGCTCAGGAACCAAAATGGCAGCAGTTCAACCCCACAGCCACCCCACAGGAGACAAATGTGTGGCCGTTTGGTTCTATCAAGATTGACAACCTTGGAAACATACGGGGCCAATTGGACTCTGAGTTGGATTTGAGTTGATGGCAGTGGGTTTCATGTTTTTTTGAACCGATTGTATAAAAAGGACGTACAGAAAACTAGCTTATAGTTTCAGTGTCAGAATTCAGCAAATCTTCTCTGCAAAGGGCCGGAGAGTCAATATTTTAGGCTTTGTGGGTCACATGCGTTGATATGGTAAAATCGGCATACCTAATATATAAGCAAATGGCTGTGGCTGGGTGACAGTGAAACTATTTATAAAAACATGCGTGGTGGCCCCTGCTCTACGTTTCTCTTTATTTTTATTTATTTATTTTTTTCTCTTTATTTTTAATGCATTATATATTCCGATAGAACATGGTTGTTGTAGGTGCTCATTGACTTGGTTCCTACTCAGAGTGAGCCTGCATAGGGCTTCCGAGCTGTAAAGCTGTACGGGAGCAGAAGGCTGGCTGGGGGATTCAAACTGCTGACCTTGTGGTTAGCAGCATGCAGGATCACTATGAGTCAGAACTGACTCCACTGTACTTAACAACAACAACAGATGCCCAGTCATTGGCAATTTGAAAGCAGAGGTGAATAGTTATGACATAGACCGTGTAACTCATAAGCTAAAACACAAGGGTAAATCCGAAAACAATGCTACAAAATCATAGAAACCTTTATCAACACAAACGCCCAAATGGAAAGCTGTTATTTCTCAACATGGCCTCCATCTGGATCTCTACTGTTCTGAAGGTGCTATTTCTCTTGCTAACCATTCCCTGAAGAGTTCTACCCTCTTTGATAGACACCACATCAAACCAGCAGTTTGGGCATCCTTGAGGGATACAAGTCATATTTGTTTTCAATGCTGTTTGAGTTTGAGGAGCAAAAAGAAGTCTGAAAGGGCAAGGTCAAGGATGAAGTGTGGATGGGGTCAAGGTTTTTCAATGAATTCTTACAGAACAGCCCTTGCTACCCAGAGTGAGCAGACACATTGTTGTGATGGAAAATAATTCCTCAGTACAGCTTTCCTTTACACTTTGTCATAATCAGCCCCATGATTGTCCTGTGTCCTTTGAAAGAATCTATCAAGATCACCCAACTAGAGCCAGTCACCATAATCTGAATTGACCTCTCTGCCTTGAATTTAACTGGCCCAGAAGATCCCCTCAGAAGCCGCTATTCTAGTTGGCCCTGTTTATTTGAAGGTACCCTAAAGAGACAGCTGTTCCTTGGAAATCCTGTACAGGGCCGCTGTGGGTTGGAATCGACTTAGCGGCACTTAACAACAACAACAAAAACAGAGACTAAGACAAGGTGTTTTATTGGAGAGAATGTGTCTGCAGTCATTCACTGATTCTAGAGACAGACACACATTTTGTTTGGAATAAACCCAGGAATGTAAGAACTGGAATCCAACTGGTAAAACTGTTTGACTCATTCTCTTATTTACTCTCTGGCCCTTTACTGAAAAAGTGTGCCGACCTCTGATGTTGAAAGTTAGATCATAAATTCAAAGCAGTGCTTATCTTCAAGGAGATGGAGAAGTATTGGATTTGGGGAGTTTGAACTGCCAGCCTGTGCTCAACCTGACCTTTCAGTCCAGTGCTTATCCTACAGTGCCAGACCAGAACTCCAAAAGTAGTTTTGTAGTTATTAAGTGCTGTCGAGTCGGTTCTGACTCATGTTGTTGTTGTTAGGTGCCATCAAGTCAGTACTGACTCATAGCGACCCTATGCACAACAGAACGAAACACTGCCCGGTCCTGGAGTAACCTCACTATTGTTGCCACGCTTGAGCCCATTCATGCTGCCACTTTGCCAATCCATCTCGCTGGGGGTCTTCCTCTTTTTCTCTGACCCTCCACCTTACCAAACATGATATCCTTCTCTAGTAACTGGTCCCTCCTGACAATATGTCCGAAGTATGAGAGATGAAGTCTGGCCATCCTGGCCTCCAAGGAGCACTCTGGCTGCACTTCTTCCAACACAGATCTTTGTTCTTTTGGCAGCCCATGGCACTTTCAATATTCTCCTCCAACACCATAATTCAAATGCATCAATTTTTCTACGGTCTTCCTTATTCACTGTCCAGCTTTCACATGCATATGAGGTTATTGAAAATACCATGGCTTGGGTCAGGCACACCTTAGTCCTCAAGCTGACGTCTTTACTCTTCAACACTTTAAAAAGGTCTTGTGCAGCAGATTTGCTTAATGCAATACGTCGTTTGATTTCTTAACTGCTGTTTCCATGAGTGTTGATAGTTGATCCAAAAAGAATGAAGTTCTTGACAACTTCAATCTTTTCTCCATGGATAAGAATGTTGTTTATTAGTCCAGTGGTAAGGATTTTTGTTTTCCTTACATTGAGATGCAATCCATACCAAAGACTATGGTCTTGGATCTTCATCAGTATTTTAAGTCCTCTTCACTTTCAGGTTGTATCATCTGCATATCGCAGGTTGTTAATGAGTCTTCCTCCAATCCTGATGCCACATTTTTTCTTCATATAACCCAGATTCTTGGAATATTTGCTCAGTATACAGGTTGAATGAGTATGGTAAAATTATATAACCCTGTCGCACACTTTTCCTAATATTAAACCATTCAGTGTCCCCGTGTTCTGTCCGAACAACTGCCTCTTGGTCTATGTACATGAGCACAATTAAGGGTTCCAGAATACTCAGACTTCACAATGTTGTCCATAGCTTGTTATGATCCACACAATTGAAGGTCTTTGTGTAGTCAGTAAAGCACAGGTGAAACTTCTTTCTGGCATTCTCAGGGTTTCTGAAGAACAGCTGGTGAGTTTGAACCGCCAGTCTTGTGGTTCAAACCGACCTTGAGGTTGAGTGCTTATCCTGGGGCATCACACCAGGACTCCAAAAGTAGGTTTTGTTGTTGCTGTTTTTAAGTGATGTTGAGTCCGTTTCAACCCATAGCAACCCTGTATAAGGTTTCTGAAGTGCGACTGGTGTGCTTGAACCACTGCCTTGCGGTTCAAATTGACTTTGCAGTCCAGCGCATTAACCCAGGACTAGGGAGGAAATCAAGCAAGTAAGCTAGCATCTGTGAGAGCAGATTCCCTGGCCGGTGTAATTGAGGTGTAAAAGCCTTCATAAGACTGCATGCTGCACTCTCCAGTGAATGGAGAGGTATCCATTCTGACGCTCTCAAAGATACCTTCCCTTCATAGCCTGTTCTAAAAGGAAGTTGTCCTGAGTCTTGAGAAACTTCTTTTACTGAACTAACTACTCATTTGCTGTGTTAAGTTTAGGGTGCTTTGTCATTCCAGAAACACTAAGAGCCCTGTGATCCCTGAGGGTCCCTAAGACCTGTCACCTCAATGCTCTCTATCACTTACTCACAGAAGTCTGTGGTGACAGCACTTCCCAAGAAGAGGTGTGGCCAGCAAGAACTGGATGACTCACAGACGGCTGTGTATCCACATGAGCCCAGACGTGTTCCCATAGAAAGAAACATCAGCAACAAAGCTAACCAAATCCAAATATCTCCACCAGCCAGACTTCTGTAGGTAGAAATCATTTTTATTTTGTAGATCTAGATATTTTGTTATAAAGTTATAAAAATTTGTAAAAATACAAAAAGATATAAAAAAGGAACCATCTCCCACCCCGCTTGTGCACTTACACCCATTCCTCAGAAGTAATCAGTTTTGAGCACTTCTGGTTTAGTCTTCTAATCCTTCACTCCAAACTCTGAACAAGATTTTAAAATCAACTTTAAACATTATCTCTTGACTGTGTTCTAAAAGATGAGGAATTGAACTTATACTGTTCCTTCTACCACTCGTCTGTGAGTTTGTCATACTGTGGTGGCTTGCATGTTGCTGTGATGCTGGAAGCCACGCCATTGGTATTTTAAATACCATCAGAGTCACCCATGGTGGACAGGTTTCAGCTGAGCTTCCAGACTAAGACAGACTAGGAGAGGCAGACTGCTGCTGAATGTTCAGCCACTGAAAACTTTATGGATAGCAGCAGGAGATTGTCACATATAGTGCCAGAAGTTGAGCCCCTCAGGTTGAAAGACACTCAAAATATGACTGGGGAAGAGTGGCCTCCTTAAAGAAGAGTTGAGCAGGATGACCCGAATAGAATACAACTTTCAGATAGCTATAAGTGTTCATTAATAAGCAGAACATGGACTGTATGAAGTATGAATCTAGAAAAGTAGGAAGTTATCAAAATGGAACTGCAACACGTAAAGATCAATATCCTAGGCATTGGTGAGCTGAAATGAATTGGTGTTGGCCATTTTGAGCCCTGGTGTGGCGCTGTGGGTTAATGCGCTGGACTGCAAAGGTTTGAACCATAAGGTTGGTGGTTCAAACTCACCACCTGCACCTTGGAAACCCTATACAGGATCGCTATGGGTCAGAATCTATTCAATGGCATTTAATAACAACAACAACATTTTAAATCACAAAATCATCTGGTTCACTATGCTGGGATTGACAAAATCAAGAAGAATGGCATTACATTTATTGTCCAAAAAACCCCCCAAACAACCCATTTCAAATTACAGAAGTATATAGTGCTGTCTGTGATAGGATAATATTCATAGGCCTGCAATGAAGGCCAGTTAATATCACTATTATTCACCACTATTATTCAAATTTATACACCAATCACTAAAGCTAGTGATGCTGAAATTGAAGAATTCTACCAAGTTCTTCAGTGTGAAATTGGTCAACTATGCAATCGAGATGTATTGATAATTATTGACGAGTGAATGTGAAGGCTGAAAACAGAGGAAGAATCAGTAGTTGGAAAATATAGGCTTGGCAATAGAAATGATGCGGGAGATTGCATGATAGAATTTTACAAGACCAAATACCTTTTTTTAAGCAATGTAAGAGGTGATTATACACATGTACCTCACCTGATGGAATATGCAGAAATCAAATTGACTACATCTGTGAAAAGAAACAATGGAAAAACTCCGTATCATCAGCCAAAATAAGGCCAGGCCAATTGCTCATAGCTGAAGCTGAAGAAAATTAAACTAAGTCCACAAGAGCCAAAATATGACCTTGAACATAATCACACCTAAATTCAGAGACCATCTCAAGGACACACTTAATGCATCAGACACTGTTGACCAGATACTAGAAATGTGGGATGACATCAAGAACATCATATAGGAAGAAAGTCCAAGATTACTTAAAAAAAGAGGAAAGAAAGAAAAGACCAAAATGGATGACAGAGAATACTCTGAAATTTGTTCTCCACCATAGAGATGCTAAAGCGAATGTAAGAAATGAAGTAAAAGTGTTGAACAGAAAATTTCAAAGGGCAGCTTGAGAAGACAAAGTCAAATATTGTAATGAAATGTGCAAAGAGCTGAAAGAACTAAAGAACTAAAGGAAATTTTCCAGCTTCGACTTGAAATATTGGGCAAAATATTGGGTGATGCAGAATGCATCAAAAGAAGATGGTAGCTTTACACAGAGCCACTGTACGGAAAAGAAATAGTCGATTTTCAACCATTTCAAAAGATAACAGATGATCAAAAACTAGTGGTATTGAAGGAAGAAGCCACAGCTGTCCTGAAGGCATTGGTGGAAAAAAAAAGGCTCCAGGAATTGAAAATTTTCACCAAACGGATGCAGCACCGGACGTGCTTACTCATCTCTGCCAACAGATTTGGAAGAAGACAGCTACTGGGTCAACCAACTGATTGAAAGCCGTCCATATTCATGCCCATTCCAAAAAGAGGTGACCCAACGGAATGCAGAATTCATCAAAAAATATCATTAATATCACATGAAAGTAAAATTTTCCTGAAGAGAATTTAAAAACATTTACATCAGTACATCAATAGACACCTGCCAGAAATTCAAGGTAGATTCAGAAGATGATGTGGAGTGAAGGCTATCATTGCTGACATCAGATGTATCTTGGCTGAAAGCAGAGAATACCAGAAAGATAATTATCTGTGCTTTATTGACTACACAAAGGCTTTTGACTATGTTGATCATGACAGATTATGGGTAACATTGTGAAGAATGAGTATTCTGGAACACTTATTTAATTGTGCTCTTGAGGAACCTGTATGTAGACGAAGAGGTAGTAGTTCAAACAGAACAAGGAAACACTGAATGGTTCAAAATCAGGGAAGGCCTATGCCAGAGTTTTATTCTTTCCCCGTACTTATTCAATCTGTAGCTGAGCAAATAATCCAAGAAACTGGGTTATATGAAGAACAACGTGGCATCAGGATTGGAGACTCATTAATAACCTGTGATAAACAGATGATACAACTTTGCTTGCTGAAAGCAAAGAGGAAGTACTTACTGATGAAGATCAAATACCACAGCCTTCAATATGGATTGCACCTCATTGTAAAGAAAACAGAAATCCTCACCACTGGACCAATAAATAAGATCATGATGAATGGAGAAAAATTGAAGTTGTCAAAGACATAATCAACACTCATGGAAACAGCAGTCAAGAAATCAAACAACGTATTGCAGATGTGCTACACAAGACCTCTTTAAAGTTTTCAAGAGTAGATGTCCGTTTGAGGACTCAGGTGCACCTGACCCAAGCCCTGGTGTTTTCAGTCACCCCATATGCATGTGAAAGTTGTACAGTGAATAAGGAAGACAGTAGAAGAATTAATGTATTTGAGTTACAGTATTGGAGGAGAATATTGCAAGTACCATGGACTGCCCCAAACAACAATCCAATCTATATTGGAAGAAGTACAGCAAGAGTGCTCCTTGGAAGCCAGGATGGCCAGACTTCGTCTCTTATACTTTAGGCACATTATTAGGAGGGACCAGTCCCTGGAGAAGGATATCATGTTTGGAAAGTGGAGGGTTGGAGAAAAAGAGGAAGACCCCCCAATGAGATCGACTGGCACAGTGGCAGCAGCAGTGGTCTCAGGCTTAGCGACAGTTGTGAAGTTGGCGTAGGACTGGGCAGTGTTTCATTCTTGTGCATAGGGCTGCTATTAGTTGGTACCGACTCAGTAGCACCTAGCAACAACATTGTTTGATTTTGGAGATATTTTTGGTTTAAGGTTTGAAGGTTCTTTTAGGGCAGCAATGTTGGTAGTCTGTCCATAGTCCATAATGCCATTTTTCCATTACCATAAACCAAACGCAGTACTCCAGTTTTAATTTCCTTCCCTCCCCTGCTACCGCTAAGAAATTGTGATCTGCACATTTGTATGTTCTTGTGTTTCTCTATAAGTGAGGCCACACAGTATTTGTCCTTTTGTGATTGACTTACACCACTCAGCATACTGTCTTCAAACTCCATCAGTATTGTAGCATGTATCAATATACTTTTTTTATGGTTATTTTGATACTTCATTTTTAAACATAACTCAGGTCTATGTTAAAAATTCAACTATACAAAAAGATATATGATGAAAACAAGACTCTTCTAAGAAAGGAAGGTTTTCAGGCTAACTTTTCGTTGCTATTAAGTACTGTCGAGTCAGGTCCGACTCATAATGACCCTGTGTAAGGTTTCTGAGGAGTGGCTGGTGGTTTTGAACTTGCAGCCTTGCAGTTAGCAGTTCAGAGTTCATCCTACAGCTCTGCCGCAGGACTGTGTAAGCTAACTTGAGCAGGGTTGAAATGGGCCATTGTTCAGTAGTGAAGGAGGTAGGGGAAGGGTGTTAAGGAAGTTAGGATAGGGAGGATGGAGCAGAAGCAGACTGACCTAACTCGCAATGGGGTGGAAGCGTGAACTGTAGGATATCGAAGCTGACCATGTAGTTAGAGAATGACCGGCTGGAAAGTGACGATGGGACAGTGTTTTCTAGAGGTGGGCCAGCCCAGGCTGACATGCTGACTCTGCCACTTACTACTTTGGATCTGGGGCAGGAGAGAGCTCCTCTCTGAGCCTTGGTGATTTTTCTTTGAGTAAACAGGCATGGAACTCCTTCCCATAGTGGTTGAGAATATTAAATGTGAGCACGTCATGTGACTCTCATATGGTCCCAAACAACCAAACCAAATGCTTTTAATGCTCACTCATAGCAACCCTATAGGCTGGAGCCCCACAGCCCCGCAGGATTTCCTAGGGGTCCTAGGCTGTACTTTCTGTGGAAGCATACAGTCACGTCTTTCTCCCACAGAGCAGCTTGTGGGTTCAAACCAGCGACCTTCCCATTGGCAGTGGAGTAGTTAAGCACTGTACCACTAGGGCTCTTTTCTCATGGGGTGGCCATTTGAAAATGTCTATTGTGAGAGAGAACTGGGACAAAAGTGAGATGAAAGCTACTGCGGGTTAATGTGCTGCACTGCAGGGTCAGTTTGAACCCCCAGGTCGGCAGTTCAAGCTCACCAGCTGCTCCTCGGAAACCCTATACAGGGATGCTATGGCTCCGAACCGATTCGGCGACACTTAACAACACCACCACTTTAAAAAGAGTGACTTGATTAGCCCATTTATTTAGGAACTGTTTCCAGGTGTCTGCTTAATGCCTAGGCCTGTGCTAAGTCCTAGGGATGACATTGTTAGCTACATACACACAGTCCTGTTGGCCCCCAAGCTTACTATCTGCTCAACATCAAAGAAACACATTAACTGAAGCATGTTAGGTGCTATGACGGAGAAGTATATGGTGGGCGATGAACAACCATCACGGCCCGGGGGAGGGAGGGTTATCTGACTTTGAATCCAGGTTCATGCCCATGTGCCATTAAAGTTGGGTCCTTGCCTGCCATGGAACTGGGCTATTTAATCTGAATCCAGGGGGCGAAACTGCTGCAAAAGTACCATGAATATCACTAAGCTACTGTCTGGGATCCCGGGTGACAATTGTGTAGTGTTGTGAGGCTGTGATGTTTTAAAATCACTCTGAGCCAGCTTCCAGAGATCTGCATTTATTAGGACGAGGGCTAATTTACTAGCGTCCCCTCCACCTTTCCAGTCACTAGAGTTGACATAGTGGCTTCCCTTCCTTTTCATCTTGAGCATCTCCCAAAAGCTGCTGTGCCTAGGAAAAGAGGCAATCTCACCAGAAAAATCTGGTTTCTAAGTAGCTTCACATCTCCAAAAGAGCCTCTGAAGACACTTAACAAGGTTTTTAGCAATTTGCCCAAAGATATATAATTCCAGGTGCGTTTAGATTTGAGGATTTGTGGTGACATCATTGCTCTTTTTTCCTTTCTTTCTCCATAGGTATGTGTCGGATTTCACCAATACTCTCCAGTCAATACGAAAGAAATGCAAGCTGGACGATATTCCTACCAGCTCCCTTTTTCAGGAAGATTGGACAGCTTTCCAGAACTCTATTAGGTAACAAGGACATTGTAGTTTAAGGCTGTGTCTAATGTAGCAAACATAAAAATACATAACATATAATCTATAAAAACTACAAATGTCTTTAGATCATTTTTTATTTTCACCACTTTTTTTTAAATTAAATTTTGGTAAAAGATATGTAACACAAAATTTGCCATTGCAACTGTTTTTAAGTGGACAATTTAGTGACATTAATTACATACACCATGTTATACAGCCATCATCATTTAATTCCAAAACTTTCTCATCACCCCAAATAGAAACACAGTACCCAGTAAACACCGACAATCCATGATTTTTTAAAAAGGTGAATTTAAAAATTGGATTTGGCTTTTGAGAACATGCTGCCAAATGACCTTCTTGGAAGGACATTTGCCAAGGGTCAATCTTTCCTCAGTGCCTGAGAGTGCCAGGGTTCCTTTCTTAAAAGCAAATACTCTAGTGTAGTCTGAATGGGGAAAAGAGAGGAAATAATGTTAAGGTGCTTGACTGTCTTATGAATATTGGTTTCCCTTGCCTACTGTTGTAAAGTAGACACTTGAGTGGGATAGAAAGGAACATCAGGAAACATGATTACAGAAAATTTGTAAGCCCGTCTTCAGCCTATAACTGATTGGAATACCTAAAAGGGGTTATAAAACTTGCCCAGTGAAATAGGCCTCATGCAAAGCCTTTACAGAATATAGGACCTTAGGTGGAATCCTGAGCCCTATCCAGCACCTTCTGAGATAGGACATTCCCACTTGAAAGGACAAGCAGACCAGCCTGGGAGTAGCTAGAGTAACAGAAGATACTTCTTGAAAGAAGCAGCAGCTGGAAATATGCAAAACAAAAATGGTGGTCTGATTTGCTACTACAAGAACAACCAAGTTGTTCGTTGGGGAGCCATCAAGGCAAGCAATTAAGTCCCTTCAGGACAAAATCCCCCTCCAAGACTGAAACTCAAAGGGAACACATGAGCAGGCATGTAAGCTTGCTGTCGACCACGTTGGTCTACTGGTGAATGGAAGAGGGGGAAAGGCCCCAGTGAAGATAAGGGCTGAGTTCAGCCTTGTTCCATAGACTCCCTTAGACTCCCATTGACCTGAGGATGAGAGAGAAGAGGAAGGGCTGGTTGGTCCAAAGTGTGGTGAGAACTGGGGACTCCTGAGCCCATGGACAAGAACATAGCCACAGAGGGCTAGAGCTGAGAGTGAAGCATCCAGCTAATATGAAGTGAGGGGAGACGCATAAGAATGCCTGCCTGAACTTGTAGATAGTACCCATTTGACCTAGCTTCAATGTCTTGATGATCAGAACCTGACTAGAGGAACATTAAAAAAAAAAAAGTGGCAAAGGAAACAAGTGTAAATTGCTATAATTTGATGAACTTGACCTATACTTATGGATGTAGTAGCTCCACATACCAACTGAAACGGAAGGAGTCTTCACATCAAGTGTGAATCCTGTTTCCTCTTTATACAGAGTTGATAGGGACATAGGAAATTTAAACATTGGCTACCTAAAATGGTGTGGGGGGAGCTATGAAGGCACGAAGTGACTGGCTTACACGTTTTCAAGATGTAGCTTAGTTTCAGAGTGTGTGGGGCAAAGTAGAATCCCCACTGAATAGTTTTCATCTTGTCTAGATGGGTCTGGTGAAAGGAGATGGGGATAAGATTCGTATGATTCAATAGTGAGTAACTGTTGTCATGACTAATTGTGACTCACAACAATAAAGGCAGAAGTTTTATAATAAAAAGGATGAAGTAGTTAATCTTACAGTCAGGAACAGAGGACCCTAGGGACCACCAA